GTGGGTTGTTGTGTGTGTGTGTGTGTGTGTGTGTGTGTGTGTGTGTGTGTGTGACATGGTACATTCATGGTCACTATATAGGCTACATTTTTTGTACTCTGTGGTCTTCTTGCTTTTGAGATGCTGCAAGTTCTAAAATAGTGGAAAGTCTTAGCGAACTATGAGGTGATTGCTTTTCACTCACCTCATAGTTCTAGCAGACCTGTGACAATGAGACTGTCACAGGTCGGCTCAGTAGATCGGGAGGTGAGCGAACACATACCGGCGTTCGCTCACCTCTCGATCCTGTCACGGCTCTCTGCCGTGACAGGGGAGGGGCTGGATTCCCCCCTCCCCGCTCCGATCCGCCAGCGCTGACTGGTGGAACGGATGGGGGAGGGGGCGGGTACAGCTGGCTCTGCCTCTAGATAGGCAGAGCCAGCTGTCAGTCACGCAGCTGGGCGGATCCAGACATAATTGTCAGGATCCGCTTCAGCTGCGGCGTCTCAGTATACCGTGAGCTGTAGCAGATTGCTCCGTCTTCCTTAGCCGTCACGGACATCAACGTCACTGGACTCCTCCCCCCTTCCCTTCCTTAGGCGACGGAGCCACTTGGGGAAGGAGTCAGGTGACGTCTATGTCCGTGACGTCACCGGATCGCCGACGGGACTCCCGGGAAGCCGGTGGAGAGGTGAGTGTTTTCATTAGCGATCAAAATAATTTTAATCTTATCAAAAAGTTTAACGATTAATCGAGAAATTAATCTTTAATTTCCACTGCCCTAGTAAATAGCATGCCAAATAGGATGATTTGTGTTGAAATGAATGCTGTGGTGACAGGGCTTCTTTAAAACGGAACAGCAAACTGCTAAATACAGTTGAAATGCATATCTCCCTTGTATTATCTGGAAAGGGTTTTGTCATTGTTATGAGACCCCTACCAAGACAGCACGGCCAGGTCTGGCACCTCCCTGCAAATTGCTCTATAGTTTGGCAATATGCCCCTGTGCAGGTCATGCCCCATTCTGTAAATGTACAAGGAGGGAGCATCGGCACACTGCAGTTATCACTCTGCTTCCCTCCTATAAGCATGTTCATGGACAGGACTGAGCAAAGCGGTAGAGCTCTAGTTGGCTCTTAGAGCAGACCTACCCTCTCCCTGTATGAGTGATGCTGTACAGAGGATTAAAGGAGGCTGATGTCATAACAGATTCTTGTACGATGGTTTTTTTTTTTCTTTTAATGAATATCCTGTTTATTAAAAACATGTGAATTGAACAGCTTCCCAGACAGAGTGACGGGTATCAGCCCTCAGCTTGGAAAGGCGAGAAGCCAGCCTGGATGAGGGCCCATTCCCACCAAGACAGTGCTTTTAATGTGCATTGCTTTTCATTTGAATAGGCAGCCAGTGCACCACCGTGGACAGATATTTGGACCGGTAATGCAGGGCACCACAGCTCACGGTACTGTTAGTGTGCTTCAATTCAGGCATGTCGCTTAACTGTGTTGGGGTGCAATTAAAATGGAATGGCACCGCTACGCATGAATGTAACATTGGGCTGACGTGTCTGCTGATGGGAGACAAATGCTATTATACCCGTGTGCAAGAATGCGGTCCGAGGGATGAGGCTGCACTAAAACTTGGTGTATCTAATCCCACAAACAAAACAATGTAAATATTGCATTGCATCCCTGGATATGATGGCTGCATGACTTTTATCGACTTTCTGCCAGTAAAACACTTCCTGTCCTAATGCACTCTCTGCTGCATTTGTGGATGAGCAGCATTGTCACCGAAGGACGAAGTGCTAGGACTGCAGAAATTCAGATTTTGAAATGCCCGTTCCTGGCTGGTTCTTTAAACATTTTCTGCTTGTGGTTGTATTCCCACTTTCAGTTTTTTAGGTCTTTTTTGTTTCTTCCAGTTGGATGAGAAGGAATCTCGGCGGTTGTTCCAGCAAATTCTTTCTGGGGTTGATTACTGTCACAGGCACATGGTGGTGCACAGAGACCTGAAGCCTGAGAATGTTCTTCTAGATGCTCATATGAATGCCAAGATTGCAGATTTTGGTAAGTGTCGGCATGTTGTATGTGTCTGGGTTAAGCCGGCCATACACCTTACAATTATTCCTTTTTTTTTTTTTTTGTCCCGTCATCACACCCTCGTTCAATTTCCGCTCAAATAGCCCATCATGCACAGACCACTGTAGATTTCGATAATCATTCATCAGCAATAATAACTGGCCAAATTTCGTCGATTGACAGAACAAATTTTCATTTGCGCATGTGCAGTGTTCATGTTGTGTTTTTGTTATACGAGTACACCACTAATCCATTTGATATTTTTTTTGATCCGTTTCGACGAAAGTTTTCTAGTCTGCCCGTTCAACCAAATTCAGCCAGTTGTACAATAATTGCGATCTTTCACTTCCCATCAACTGGCCGATTTTATTGTACGAAAACGCGATTGCGTTATTTTTTCGGACGATTGCAAGGTGTATGGGCATGTGGTTCCTTTCTAGTCTGTTGTGTCCGCAGCTCATGTGTTGAGCTTTCACTTTTCATAGGAGTGGGAGCCCTTTTGCTGCATATTTGTTTTTTTTCCTGAAGGTTTTTATTTTTATTTCTAACAACTAGTTAGTGATTGTAGACCCAGCAATCTACTTACCTGCTCCTAAAACTGCCGCTCAGGCAATTGGAGGGCAGACGATGTGCTCAGTGCATTATTTTCTTTTTTAAACCGTATTAGTATTTGTACAGACTGATCCCCCCCATTCAGGTCCTGTGCCGTGGTGACCTGCGGTGGCCTCCAGCATGCCAGCAAGAAAAAACGCAGCATGTCTGCATTTTATTTACTGCGCACTGGACATCACACCAGTCTTGTGGTGTTAATGGGGAACATAGAAAACATTTGTTCTCTATGTGCCCCAGCAAAGGACTTTTTTTTTTTTTTAATTGGGCAGAAAAATGGAAGTCATCACACAAAGCGTGAATGTATCCCCAGGAAGAGCTTCTGAGTTCCCAGGTCTGCGCACTGGCTGTGACCATTATATGAAGGTGCTCCTGCATTCTCTGGTGGATTTTCTAGTTATTTCATTTTAAAGTAACATTGAACTCAAAATAAAACCTAAAAAATAATTCAAGTACACTGACTATTAATAAAAATGTATCTTATTTGTGTATCACTCGGCTGTAGATCCTCAAATCATCTCTGAATTGGTGCTGACACTGTCCTTCCTTCTGGAGGGGGGCTACCTTTATTGCCCATGGTCCCTGTGTGTGTTGTAAAGTAGTCACCGCTCCAAGCACGCTCCCGTGATGGACTACAATCTCATGTTTAGTTTACCTATTTTTATAGGCCTTTCCAACATGATGGCTGATGGAGAATTTTTAAGGACGAGCTGTGGGTCTCCCAATTACGCTGCACCAGAAGTTATTTCAGGAAGGTAAGTGTGTATTCACTGAAATAATAGGTTCTTTATCAAAAAATGGTTAAGTATGCAGCATTGGTGTTTATATGAAGTAATGGAAGTGGGCAACTTTAACCATTCATGAGTCAGGCCATGCATCATGTTTTGGATGCCTGACAATTGTCATATGCACATTGCTAGGTGACCCAGCAAGATGTAGTGATTTTATTAATCTGCACAATTTCAAATGCCTGAAGGTTGACACTCCCTTGTAAGGACCGGCCTGCAAACTTCAGAAATTGTGTTTTTTTTGGCTCTGCGGCTGAGCTTTTTTTAAAAAAAAAAAAAAATCTTTGTTTTATATCATAGCAGTTTTTTGTATTTTTGGTTAGCCCATATTTAGTGTTGTAATTAGGGATGTGCTTATACTAGTATCGGTGGCAATACCTAGTATTTGGGAGAGTACTCGTATTCACCCAAATGGTCCGATACTTCCGATACCAGAACTTCCGGTCATAGGGAGATCTCCCTCTGTCCAGCAGTGCTGAGGGAGCATAGAGCCGGCTTTCTTTCCAATCAGGATGCTGAGAGGCATGCCCGGCTCCCTGATTTGCTAGGAAGCCGGCTTCACTTGTTGCTAGGCAGCCTGGCTTCCTGACCAATCAGGAAGCCAGATGGCATCTTGTGACCCGCGGCCCGGCTTCCTGATTGGTCAGGAAGCCAAGCAGGCTTGGCAAGTGGTGATCATTCGATAGAACACTGGCTTTCAAGGCAATCAGAACCTGGACGACGGGTCATGATCCGCCGCCCGACTTTCTGATGATCAAGGCACCGGTATCAGTACTCTGTATCAGCGAGTACCTAGAAAAAAAAATCGATTCTCCTACTCGATACCTAATAACCGGTGTCTGTGCATCCTTAATTGTAATGGTAACCTTAAAGGAGAACTATAGGGTCAGTGCTTTTCCCCATAGTTCTAGTAAGGTTAACAGGAGGACACAAACTAGCGTCCTCCAGTCACCCTAAGCTCAGTAAACCGCGAGCTGCATCTCGCCGTATACTGAAATGCCGCAGTCGGGACGGATCCCTACAATACTGTCTGGATCCACCCAGCTGTGTGAGTGACAGCTGGCTCTGCCTATCTAGAGGCAGAGCCAGCTGTACCTGCCCCCTCCCAGTCCGTTCCACCAGTCAGCGCTGGAGGATCGGACAGGGGAGGGGAGAATCCAGTCACTCCCCTGTCACTGCTCTCTGCAGTGACAGGATCGAGAAGTGAGCGAGCAACTGTGTTCGCTCACTTCCCGATCTACTGAACCGACCTGTGACGGTTTCATTGTCACACGTCGGCTCTAACTATGAGGCTGAGTGATTTTTCCCTCGCCTCATAGTTCTCCTTTTAAAGTTTATAGTGTTTGTGCAGGTAGCATTTATTTTGAGTTTTAGCATACTTTGACTACCAATACTTTTTTTGTGGATGGTGAGAAAGGATTAGAACCCCAATGTGACTTTCAGTGCTATCCAAGGCTCTCTTGGACAGATTTCCCTTCATTGTCACAATAAAGGAAGTGAGGGGGTAATGTCCAACAGCAACACACAAATTTTATATATATATCATTTTTTTTTTTTTTCATGAAGGATTACTACCCCTTGTAGCTTTTTATTGTCCCTATTGCATAATTGTCTTTTCCTGTCTGGTCAAAGTGCTGTCTGTTGCCTGATAGGCCCCTTTCAAGTGGCATTACAATCTGTCAGTTTTGTAGGCAAACCTGATCTGGAAGCTCAATGTTAAGTCTATGGGTCTGATGTAAATGGACCTCGGTCTCTTTACATCAGATTACCTCAGAGTCCATCCAGATCTGAAAAAAGTTAGCGTTCCACTTTGGCAGAGCTGAATGGCGGGGATCGGTGGTAAACCAATGTGACCCGACACATGTCTGCTTTCATCCGACTCACCATAGACGTGACAAGGGTCTGATTTTAGTTCAGATTTTTTTTTTCCTCCATCGCAAGATGGAGGAAAAACCTGAATGAACACGGATGACACATGAGTGACACCTATTTCTGATCAGCAGAGGAACTTCTCACTGATCAACTGCAGATCACAAAGGATGCTGCTCATGTGAAAGGGGCATACAAGAGCTCTGTAGCTATACAAACCTGACGAGGATTCTAATCTTTCCTACTGTATCACAACTAAGAAAATAAGCATCTCATTACATGATTTTGCTTTTTGTTACCTATGTCTCATTTTGCTTGTTACTCTGCCTGATCTACCTGTAATATGCTCATATTCTCATATTCCTAATGTGACTGTCTTTATCCCCTATAAAGAATGTACCGTATATACTCGAGTATAAGCCGAGATTTTCAGCCCATTTTTTTGGGTGAAAAGTGCCCCCCTCGGAAAAAAAATATTGCCCTGACATGCACTTTAATTTGTTCTCTGATTTAACATGCTTGCTTTACATGCTTGCTATCCCAGGTTTTTGGATTCACTAGTTATTTCAGGTGTGATTCTGTAAAGCAAGCAAAAAATGAATGATAAAAGCTGTTGTTAATCCCCACATTGCTGTACGCTTACTATCTGACTTATCCAGGCTCTATGCTGGCCCAGAAGTAGACATATGGAGCAGCGGAGTCATTCTCTATGCCTTGCTATGTGGGACTCTTCCATTTGATGATGACCATGTGCCAACCCTGTTCAAGAAGATCTGTGATGGCATCTTCTACACCCCACAATATCTAAACCCCCCTGTGACTAGCCTTCTCAAGCACATGCTCCAAGTGGATCCCATGAAAAGGGCTACCATAAAGGACATTAGGTAAGCTGCCAGTAAAGAGAAACTAATGTGGGTTCATCAATGATGTATTTGTGTGTATATTTGTCTGCTTAGGTCTTTGTTTTTTCTATTTACTTGTCTAAAGCAACCCTGTGGGGGGAGACAAGTATTGTTCAAAAATGTCCTGTGAGTTGTCTCATGTTTTACTGTTATGACTTTGTGTACTGCAGAAATCTGTATGCAATGTCAAAATGTGTTGTACAAAAATGTTAAAAAGTGAAAAACTCAAATAAAAAATATCTGATTAAAAAAAAAAAAAAAAAAAAAAAATTCCCTGGAAAGAAAAATTTTTTTACAAACACTAAACAAGTAAAAAAAAATCTATTAAAAAAAAAAAAAAAAAAAAAAAAATGTCCTGTGAAGGAAGATATTTTTTACTTGCCTAGTGATGGCAGCACGGCTATTCTGCCCTGAAGGATCTTCACTTCCCACATACTTTAGGTGTAGCAGATGCCTGCACTTCATCCTTGGTGTAGCTCTGCAGCAGATGATAGGTTGGGTGCTGTGCTAGGCAAATCTAAAGTTTGTTTCTTTACAGGACATTTTGGTTGATATTTCCACCTGCCCAACAGTTGCTATAAGTCTTGCTTTACAAATGGTTATTGAATACAGGGTGCAGACATGGCATATTTGCAGACCTTTGCACCACTTGCTCACTTTTGACTGCTTTTGTGTTGACAATCCAGACCGCTCTAGATAAAGGAAGCAGTCTGTCCATCCTTTCAGTTCAGCTATGCAGGTGTTGTGAATAGACCTAAACTGCAGGAAATCAATTTACATAGGGCTATTTACAGCATAGGAGTAAAGTGAGTTATCATAAGTGGTAAAATACTATTCACTGTCTGCTGACTGCAAAGGGTGGATATGAAATCTTTCACTTTTACTAGATATGTATATTTTAATATTATGCTT